ATAAATGTAAGCATGCAATCCAGCAGATTGCCCTTTCTGTATTGTACTGTACAGAGTATGTCTGAGAGTGAGTGTAGTTCTCCTGCTTTGACAGTTCTACAGAGAATCAAAATGTTACTGTTAGAAGAATTGCTAAAACTATTGTAAGGTATGAAAGGGCCACATGTGTATTATAAGATGCTCCAAGTAGCTATGTATACATATACATATTTCAGCAACCCATAGTTTTTACAAGATTATGATACAAAAACAAAGGAATAAAATACTATCTTAAAACCATAAACTAAGCCAGTGATGGTTAATCTTTTCTGGACCGAGAGCCCAAAGCGCGTATGCATGCACATGCCGCTAAACCCTCAAAATGCAATGTGTCCCCCCCCACATGCATCTCACCCCCACGCATGCATGCGCAACCCCCGCACATGCCCCACCACCATGCATGCACAGCAGAGACCCGAAGGCCAGCTGGCTGGCGGGAGGCGTGCGCGCATGCGCGTCGGAGCTGAATTGAGGCGACGGCTCGCGTGCCATTTGAGAGGGCGCTGTGTGCCACCTCTGGCACACATGCCATTGGTTCGCCATCATGGACCTAAGCCCTACAAAATAAAATCCTGCTAACTGCAATATGCCTATAATATATGAAAATACGATATTGCAATTTCCTGACCCAAATTAGCCTTCATCAATGTCAAACCCTCCATTGGGAGGATAACAGATTAGGAAGCCTTGCTCCTGCTAGCATTTTTGAAAGGCTTCCATCTCGAGTTCCCACCCCCACTAATATTCCTGAAAATGCATGAAACAAAATTTCTGCTGACTAAGCAGCAGCTGTAGGTTTAACTTTACAGGGAAGCCGTAGTCCAAGTGGAATTGAATCTCAGCTCACAAAGAGATGGTGTAAAGAAAAAAACAATGCAACATTGCATATGTAGCCCATTGACTCACTCACGTCAATATGCATGTACAGGTAGTCCTCAACTTATGACCACAATTGAGCCCCAAATTTTTGCTGCTAAGTGAGACATTTCTAATGTGAGTTTTGCCCCATTTTACGACCTTTCTTGCCATAGTTGTTAAGTAAATCACTGCAGTTATTAAGTTAGTAACAGAGTTAAGTGAATCTGCTTGCCAGAATGTCGCAAAAGATTATCATGTCACTCCAGGACACTGCAACTATCATAAACACGAGTCAGTTGCCAAGCATCCAAATTCTGGTCATGCGAGCATGAAGATGGTCAGTCATAAGTGTGAAAAATGGTCATGTCATTTTTTCAGTGCCATAGTAACTTCAAATGGTCACTAAATCAACTGTTGTAAGTCGAGGACTACCTATAATATATGTAGACGTGATATAAAATATTAATGACAACAGATGAATTGATCCTTGACTGAGGACAGGATGAGCTGATATTAATTTTATCTTGAATACAATAAAGGAACATTGCTCCTGAAAGAGAAAATTGTGAGAAACACACCGGATTTTTTAAAAGTAAGTATTTCTGACTCATGTTCCTCTGAAATTCATCACTTTTTCACTACTGGTTCTTTTTTAAGTGTTCCTTGTTTTTTTTGTAGAGAAAATAAGCTTGGGAAAAGTCTTTCGTAGGAACAGATATAGTGAAAATGTGAGAAGGTGTATGTGAATTAGCATCTAGTGGTTATCTTTAGCTGTCTTGATGACGTTTTGGCTTTTTTTTCAGCATTACTGGAATGATTGCTCATTAGTCATTTATTTGGGACTTCCTTGTTTGTTGATGTGACAATTAGAACAGGATTTTTTTTTCTTATTTGAGAGACAAAATGTACAGTGGAAACAAGTTATGTAATGTCATAAAGATTTATTATTTTATGGACAATAGCTTAATAGGTTCATAGGAACAAAGGTATTTCAAAGGTATTTCCCAATAATCTATTACTTTGTTAAATTTTAATTCATGAGATTTTTTTTTGCTCTTATTCCCATAATAGATAAACCTGGTAAATATAATTGAGAAGATACATATTGAAATTACTATTTAGCTACTGACAGAAAGAAACTATTCAGAGTTCTCAAAGTAAGCGTCTTGTTTTGATGATAAATTCAGCTAAATGGCCTCTATATAGCCTATGGGGAAGGCACTGAAAAACCAAGAAATCTGCCCATAAACCACTTGGAGCAATTCTCATTATAGGGTGCTAGTACAGGACCTGTGACATTTCTTTGAATTATGCTGGTGGAAGGGGAGCGCCACCTAGTGCCAGGCTGGTGCTCTCTCCTCTGCACTTTTTAACCACATTTGATCTCCATTCTTCTGGAAGCAGTTGAAACACATTGAGGAAATTAGAAAAGAGGCAGATTTCATACCTGATAATTACACTGACTGGATAGTATGAAACCATCATGTTCCATTTTTGATGCAATAGCACAATGTCCTGTTAATTCTTCTAGAACCATAGGAATCCTGTTAACTAACTTCTACCCAAAGGTGGATTTGCTGGAACTATATTCCCTAAACCAATTTTTCCCCAAACCTGAGTATCTTCTAAATTTCAGTTCTGTAAATTTGCAGGCAGGTCCATATTGGCCAGAAAATTGGAGAAGGCTGACTAATGACAGCTAATTATTCATCTTCAGAAACTCTGTACTCGTTTTTTTTTTAAATTTATTTTAATTTATTTTTCTCTTCCCTGTAAAGTTTCTTTTCACAAATTGGCTATTCTGATTTCCCCCAATTTGTACTACAAATCATCTCCCTGCACAAACTACGTAATTAAAACTTTTCTGTGTCTGCCAGTTAAGCCTCCAACTGTAACTGATGACTAACAGAGACTTTGTTTAAAGAGGCACTTCATGAAAGGGAACTGGAAAAAAAAAGATTTTGGAAACTTTAAACAGATTTGTGAGTGCAGCTGTTAACACATTCAACTCCCTGTCAAAGACAATACACACATTCACATATTCTAGCTCCCCATACTAGATGGTGAGAAAATAAAGCACAGGTTTTTTTTTAAAATCAATGTTAACATTTCTGGAAGTGAACAAGCAGACTGCTAAGTGTAAAGATTTCAGTGTATGCATCAGAAGACCCAAAGAAAATGTTGATGACCAGAGGTGGTATTCAACTGGTTTGGACCAGTTTGCCCAAACCAGTAGCGGAAATTAATGGGTGGGCCTGCCTACCTGTCCCAGCTCTATGTTGTTCTATTTAGGCACTTTTTGAGGTCAGGCATATGTGCAGAAGGCATGCGCATGAACAAGGCACATGTACGGAAGGCTGGGCACATGCGTGGAAGGGGCACATGCACGGAAGGGACAATTTCACCCATGAATGGGGAGCACGTGCGGAATGAACCAGTGGTAACAAAATGGGAAGCTGTACAATGTTGATGACCACTTAAATACAGACAACAATCTTTTATCTGCCCAGCGTCTTTCATTGGGTCTGTCACAGTCTGTAGTTTTTTCCAAGATTTATTTAGAGATGGGAAGAGAACTATTAAGAGAGATAATAGAATATATCTCAAAATGGGCACCAATGAAGCTGACCCTGGCTGATTTGGTCAGAGTTGTATGTGATTATTAAAGACAAGTTAAGAGTAAGTTTATATATTTATTTATTTTACATATCTGGTAATCAACTTCCCCTTTGGAGAAACCATGTTTTCTCATGGGGTATGTACTTACACATATTTTAAGAACTGCAATGCACCTCTCTCATGTATCTGATCACATCATCTGCTTCCTAATAAATTTTATTGTGAACAACATAATTTTACTTGGTAAAATAAAACAGCTTTGCATTGCAGATATAATTATAAACCATTGGCCTGGTGGCTCTAATTCTTGGTGATCAAGCCAATGATTTGTATCCCTGTTTTCTATCATGTGGCTCCTACCTTTTAGATCTTAAGAACCAGGATATTTTCCTAGGCCTTGGGTGAGTGTGGGATAGAGGCCATGGAGCCCCTTGTTAGATGTATTCTTGAATTTGTGTTGTATTAAGCTATCAGATCCCACCTTGTTTATTTGCTTTCTAGAGTATTAAGTTTCTATTGCTCACTATATTGCAAGCTGTTCAGAGATGGTTTAGAATCAGACAGATCTTGATTTAAAATACACAATTCTTATCAACAGTTCCATGAACAGCAAAATCCTAACTACATTGAAAATTATAGCTCATCTACCTATTGCTTAACATTACATTGTATAATTTATTGCATTATGAGGATAATCTTAGAATAGTTTAAAAAAACATAACCGCAATGAAATATGATGGTTTAGAAAGTAGTTTAAAAAGTTTACTCTGACCATTTTATCAAGTGCTTTAGAACAAATTTACTTATCACTCACCATTTACATTGTTTGTCTGTTTTGTGCCTTTGAGTCAGTTTTGATTCTGGGTGACTACCTAAATCAGGGGTGTAAAACTCGATTTCATTGAGGGCCGCATCAGGGTTGTATTTGACCTCAGGGGACTGGGGTGGGAGTGGCCAGCTTTATGTCACTCATGTCAGGGGCGCCTGTGGTGGTCCAAGTGCTCTGCCAATGAAAACGGGCTCCCAATCTCCATTTTCAGCTGGGACGGCCTCCTGCAACCCTCTGCCAGTGAAAACAGAGCTTGGGAGGATTGCAGGAGGCTGTCCCAGCCGAAAATGGAGATTGGGAGCCCGTTTTCACTGGCAGAGACACCACGGGCCAATCCTTCACTCTTTCCAGGGTTGCCTCATGGGTCGGACCTAAGCATCCCATGGGCCAGATCTGCCCCCCCCCCACCTCCCTGGGCCTTGAGTTTGACATTCCTGGCCTAGATTAATCTCTGCAGTTTTCTTGATAGAATTTTTCAGAAATGGTTTGCCATTGCCTTCTTCCTAGGGATAAGAGTGAGTGACTGGCCCTGGGTCACCTAGCTGGTTTTGTGCTGAAGACAGGAGTAGAACTCACAGTCTCTCTGTTTCTAGCCTGATGCCTTTACTACAGCAAACTGGCTTTCTCATTAACATTATTATGTTACTGTAAAAAAGTACAATAGCTTAAACATGTCTCTTAGTCATTGAAATTGTTTCACTTACACTCTTACTCTATTTACTTATTTCATGTATAAGGTTATTTTTTTGTTTTTTTGTTTTTAACTATAGCAAATACAATAACTTACAAGAATCTTACTGAGTGAGTTTCAGGATGCAGAAATTAAAGCAAGATTATTTTACTCCCTTGAACATGATTTTTTTCTAAGATTCTCTGATCTTGGTGGATTGGGTGTGGTATGTCCTCTCATTTCACCATAGTTATAGCTGGACATTTTGGAAGAGATGAATTCATTAAAAGTAAAAATTGTTATTTCCCAAATTATAGTTACACCAAGATGAATCGACCTGCCTCTAATAATGAGCCATATAATGTTTGAGAGATTGCATTTGCTAATCTAAGCCCTTTTAAAGGAATTATTATGGCAACTCCTTACTGAGGATGTCCTCCTGAATGGTCTTTGTAGTCACCAGCATAGTTGCTCCAAATTCAGTTGCTGGCAGTGGAAATAAGGAGTTGCATTTTTCATCATGGGGAGACGAGGTAATCACTTCCTGACTTCTTGTGAAAGCAACACAGGGAATATTCTCCTTTAAGACATCATCCTGGGTGATCATAGTAACAGCATTTAAATGTGGGCATTGAAGCTGTCCAAGGTCATTGTCTCTTGGTTCGCAGTCATGGTTTGTTTGAGCTTCATTGGCCAAAATACAAGCGCACTTGCCATTTTCTAATAATAAGAAGATACATAATAATAAAGAAAAGACAAATTAAAAATTTATGGAAAACTGAAATTCTTTTTAAAAAAACTGAAGCAATAAACATGATAGCACAAGAACTGCTATGCAAACAAACTTAATACCAAAACTGATATATTTCAAATGATAATAAATGCAGATTTATGTAAAATGTTTTAGAATTTAAAATATTTTTTAGTTAGCCAAGTGTGATTGGACACACAAGGAATTTGCCTCCAGTGTATAATCTCTTAGTGTATATACAAACAACAAAGTGATAAATCATAACTTGTAAATCATGATACAATCATAAATGATAAGATACAAACAACAATGTGATAAATCATAAGATACTAATAGGAGACATTAATGGAAAAGAGGAGAAGGATAATAATAATACCTCCCTACTACATGGATAAATATCCTTAGTGCTGTGCGAATTAGGTGTTTAGCAGAGTAATGGCATTGGGGTGGGGGTGGGGGGAATTGTCTTTGTGTCTAGTTGCTTTGGCATGCAATGCTCTATAATGGTGTCCTGAGGGGAGGAGTTGAAGCAGTTTGTGTCCAGGATGTAAGGGGTCTGTAGATATTTTCTCAGTCCTCCTTCTGACTTGTGCAGTATACAGGTTTTCAATGGAAGGCAGGCTGGTTGCTATTTTTTTTTCCTGCAGTCCTAACTATCCATTGAAGTCTGTACTGTTTGGTTGCTGTACCAAACCAGAGAGTTATAGATGTACAAATGACAGACTCAATAATTCCTCTCTACAACTGGATCAGCAGCTCAAAGGTTAAAGATGAAACTTTGATCACCTTATTGCTGGCCATAGCAACATTGCCTAAGGTGTTAGAATTGTTATTGGGATTCACGTAAATTATATGCTTGAAAAAACATAGAAAATGTCAGGAAAAGGTCAGGATTATGTGAGAATTTAAAATTTAAATTGGCAGACACAATATACCAGGATTACTATTACTAAAAAAATGTGGTTTATGGATGTAGAAATGCTAGAAGATAGTAGCATTGATGAAAAACAAAAACAAAAAGGAACAAAACATTGAGATTTGCACATTAAAGTTCGAAGAACTGGAAGATCCTAAACCAGATTGGTCTAATGGTTAAGCTACCATGCGAGAAAGTAGGAATTAGATAAAAAGCAGGAGTAAAATATGTCTAAAATAGATGAATATCTGTTAAGACAACAGTTGCCTAAACTTTCACAAACTCAGAGACAACTTATGAATGATCCAATAACTGTTTTTTTTAAACATCAGAAGCTATTAAAAATATGAAATCAGGTAAAGTCCCAGCCCAGATGGCCTTAAAAGCCAATATTATAAATACTTTTAAGATGAACTTCTTCAGACATTAAAGGATATAATGAATGATATATTATAGGGGGAAATATACCTCAAACGTGGAAAGAAACTAATATTGCTTTGCTACAGAAGTAAGGTCAAGATGCTATGAAGACAAAGAATTACAGGTCAATTTCATTATTAAACAAAGACTACAAACTCTTTGCTGTGGTTTTGGCAGAAAGATTGAAGAAGATTTTAGAGGCATATATTCATGAAGACCAATTTGACTTTCTGCCAAAAAGACAGTTAAAGGATAATGTGAGGACTGTTTTGAGGTAAAGGTTTCCCTCACACATATGTGCTAGTCATTCCCAACTCTAGGGGGCAGTGCTCATCTCTGTTTCAAAGCCAAAGAGCCAGTATTGTCCTATGATATCTCCGTGGTCATGTGGCTGGCATGACTAAACACCAAAGGCTCATGGAACGCTGTTACCTTCCCACCAAAGGTTGTTCCTATTTTTCTATTTGCATTTTTACATGCTTTCGAACTGCTATATTGGCAGAAGCTGGGATAAGTAATGGGAGCTCACTCTGTTACGCAGCACTAGGGATTCAAACCACTGAACTGACGACTTTTCTGATCAACAAGCTCACGGTCTTAGCCATTGAGCCATTGAATACTGAATATTCAATATTTTTTAATATTGAATATTTACAATATCATAATAAGAAATAGACAGCGCTAATATTTTTAGATGCAGAGAAGGTCTTTGAAAATCTAAGTTGCGCTTTCACGTTTAAAGTGCTAGAAAAAATGGACTTTGGAGAGAATTTTCATCCAAGGGGTCAAAGCTGTTTATATACTGTATCATCATTATCAATGATGATTTAACTAAAGCAAAATTCTTGTAAACTTGAAACTCACCAATATAGTTCACCATCCCCAGAGTAGGATCTCTCTGGATTCCTTTTTTTTTCATTTAGAGCATGTGAAAAGCGAGAGGAAGAAAATAGTCATTCGATTCACATGTTGCTCAATTGTGTCTAAGACTAGAGTAGATCAACCTTTCTCAACATGGTGTATTTAAACTGTGACAGACTGCAGTTTCTATAATCCAACCAATCTTAAGTACACTGTAGGGGGTTGGAAAGAGTTAGGCTAAATAAGATCAACTGGATTAAAACCTATTGTCTGAAGTGCTGTTAATACATACCTTGGGAATTCTCCTTTCCAGTTTTTCTCCTTCTCTTCCGTCTTTGTTTCAGGATTACAAGCCATAATATTGCCATGATGATTACTAGCCCCACAAAAGCAAAGAAACCAAATATTAAAGCTGAACAATTTTGGTTCCCAGCAAAAACTTGCACTGGTTGGGTTGGAAGGGAGGTTGTTCGAAATACAGTAGCTGTGGAGGGAAACAACAGTTCTAAGTGGGTCGTCTTAACAGAGATGTTTCTTCTTTCGAAGTGAAGGGAAGGGTTCCAATTTGGTTTGTGGCATACCAAATTGAGTCAAAGGAACAATGAAATAAGACGTGTGCTACTGATTCAATTGTTCTATCAAAACAGAATCAAAATGTTTCATATCTCCCCTCTGTTAAAGCACAGCAGCGTTGGAAATTATAATAATCATGTGACCATGGCAACATGGTGGTGTAGCAATGCAGAAGCACTGAAGCAGAAACAACTTTGTCAAATGTCCATCCCATTGGGATTGATGAGTCCCTGATTTTGGATACATTTTTTTCAGTTAGCCCTTTTGAGATACGTAGATTTAAAAATTATTGCCTTGTGATGCACCGTTTTCTCCAAATTGAAAATTACAAATAGACAAACAGGAGAGTTTTAGTAGTGTATAAATCAGGAAGAGAAGATGCAGAAAGACAAATTGGCGATGGTTTATTTCCAGTTAGAAATAAACTTAACAGCAAAAGTGAACAAGGCTAGTGATTCACCCAGAAAATCTATTTTAGTTAATATATAATGCTGTAGATTTGCATTTTACCTGCTTCAGAGAAGGTAATTCACAATCTGTTTTTTATTTACTTAAATATACAATAGATTAGAATAAATAATAAATAATAAGCAAACTCACCACCTTAAGATTAAATATGTGAGTAGCTACAAAGAACCATCCAGTATTGTTGCAGCTAGGCCAATCTTACAATTGTACTCATAATGTTTTGAGCTCAGGCTGTGACCCCTCAAATTTGCTATGTCTAGGAAGTAGAAGACTGAAAATAAATACCCAAATAGTTAAATGCAATGATTTCCTTGATAGGGCAACTCTGAATTTTCCACTTATACAGGAAATATGTTCTGGTGAAAAGCAAAACCTTTGTTTTAGAACACTTTATTCTGAGCTCTTCTATCTGGCAGAAATCAAGCAATGAGCAACACTCATAAAACGTAAATGGAGCTTCAGTTACACTTTCATGGACACTATCTTGATTTTTTTTAAACCACACACTGCCTTTCCCATTTGAAGGACGAGACTCCAAAAGCGGTTTCCTTGGAAATAAATGTGAAAGACTAAGCTTACTGACTGCAAAATATATCAATTACGCATTCTCACCTTCTGCATCTCACTGTTTGAGAGTTGTATTACAACCTTCATACCAGTTTATATGGGCAGAAACAAAATTATTCCACCAGATAATCTTTATAATCCATCCATATGGCTGGATGTTCTGTCTCTGGAAGGTGCCAAGACAAAGAAGTCTGATCTAAATCATGAAGTAAGGCTTTATTTTGTTCCAGATTTAAGACTATTTGTAAACTCTGTGATTAATGTATGGTACAATGTGTTGGGTGAACCTGACTGAACCACACTACAAAATGACTTGGGCCATAAAGCTTCTATGTTTTAAGATTTTAATTGGAAGGAGTGGGTTTTGGTTGAAGAATGAGATGATAGAAATGGGAAAAAAGAAAGAAAAGAAGCATTTTGTTTCAAAGAGACTAAAAAGGGCTATGTATAGAATATATGTACAAAAAGTTCTGAATCAGAAGACAGTTAAAATAGATATATTTGCATATTTTCTTCCTCTTTATTGAAGAGAAGAGGAAAGAACCAAAAGGATGCTAACATTCTGCTCTGTTGGTATTAGTGCTTACTAAAATTTCACTTGAGCCTTCATTACAAATCCTTGCATACACATCTAATGGAAGAGGGGTAAATTAACTTTGCTAAAAATGAAAGAGGAAGTTGTCACTGATGAATTTTGCACTAAACTGACTGCTTTAATTAAGGAAAAAAAACACAATTACTTTTGTGTCTGTTTGGAAACCACTTCTGGACTTTGTGCTTGAGGTAGGCAAAAAATAAAACTTTGATTTTAAGTTTTACTGATTAGCTAGGTTTGATGTTATAGAAATGGCTAGTTTATACAATGCCTTTTCTTTCTTTTTTCCCCTTTTCCTACACTTTCCCTTCTCTTTTCCTTCCTCTGTCTTTCCTACTATTTTCTTTTGCATTTTTGAATTTTACTCAATAATAAATATGTACTTAATAAGAAAAACACTGTAAATATATAAAAAGAAGAAAAAAAAATACTTGCATACATATCTTCAGTAATGAAAGAGGGGTAAACTAACTGCTGAAAATGAAAGAGGAATTCAAAATTTACCTTCATGAATTTTGCACCACCCAAATTATTTTCTGCACTCCCAGACAGTGACCATAAACCAAATGTCTAAAATAAAAGCCTGTAAATGTAGCAGGGTAAGAGGGAAACACATGTTTGCCCTTTTATGTAGTTAGAAATTGAAGGAAACCACATATTATAGAAGGGAAGCAGATTTTAAACAAATCTGAAAAGGGATTTGCACTATTTGCATCTATTCTAATAAAAGAGCAAGCAGATACTGCAGACTTGAAGTCAACCCGGCATTGCTTATAGATTCTTTTACCAGAGTTACATAACATGTTTAAGCCTAATCCCACGTTAACCAAAAACAATTTCTAAATTTATCTTTGCATTCCACCACAAAATAAAGTATGTTATGATTTCATACTAGGGCCTAATTTACACAAAACACTAGGACAATGACTGGGTTTTCCACAACCTGCTGATTCTGATGACAACTGCACAATTCTAATCTACTGTTGACATGCTTGTAGTGTGAAGCCAATATAAGTCTCAAGTAATGTGAAGTAACTGCTAAGCTAAATTGTGTCGGAGTCTCAAATGCATCCACTAATAATTCACTGACATTCCCTTGACTCTGGCAAACTTTCTCTATTAACTCTTTCCATTTCATGGGGGATGCTAAGGAATAGGTTCTGCCATGACATGATTATTCTTTTCTTGAAAGGCTGGAAAGCAGAGCATGTAAAGGAATTAGTTCCTGTAAAATCCCAACTGAAGACCCCTCTAAGAACTGACTTCAGCATAGCCTTCCATCCTCCCTCACACAGGAGTCTGCTCTAAAGCAAGATATACCAGCTAGCTCACTAGTATCTTTACCACAGTCTGGTTTTATTTTTTTCTAGAATCAGTCAAGGAAGGCTTGTTTTGGCTGCTGGCATTAGATTCTAAGATGTATCTTTAGCAACCCTACCTTGAAGTATCGGTTCCTGGGACAGGATGCCGAGTAACCAATATGCCAAATAGGGGCGTGCATAAGGGCACCAGCATGCCTAACGTCCCTGTCCTACTGTCCACATGTATTTGTACCCATTTCCTGTGTTCTTATTCATATTTATTCTTTCCTGTTATCTTGTACACGAGTGACAAACTAAAATAAATAAAATAAAATAAATGATGGTGATTTTTGTGCTCATCTTACTCCAACTGATGTTATTTTTTAGATTTTTGAAATCACAAAATCATTATCATTACCATCCATATATCAGTCAAAACTATTATGAATGCTTCAGTGCCTTTGGGCCCTACTTAAAGTGGGGGAGGGGGGCACATAAAAAAGAACCGAGATGGTAGCTTCCTAACAGACTAAAAAATCAATGAAGTAGGTCTTGCAGTAAATCGATATTTAGGATCGGCCATGTGCACATTCATTAAATATTGTTTGTGAAAATAACTATAATATTCTCTCAAATTTCCACATATATTATTTATTAAAGAGGAAGACGCCTTTAAAGAGGCACATGTCATTAACTCATCCACCTTACCATACATAAGAGTAGAAAGAAACATACATCTATTTATTGCAATTTTGATCTCTTAAGCAATGCATGGTGCTGGCTTGAGAAACTCCATAGCACATAATTCCTCTAGACAGTCCATGTTCAGGAGCTATATATACATATACATATACATATACATATTCATACATACACACACATATATATATTTCTTATACAAGTTATACTTACAATGCAAATAAGGTCAACTTAAAATCCATGTGCATCTAACCTTATTGTTCTCATGGATTTTGAAAAATAATCTTGGGTATACGTCTCCTTCACTTGATTGTTTTATTAGAAGAGGTGGCACCTTTTCTATGAAATAACCTCAACCACAAGTGCTGATAGGTTTTAGGCATATTTTAAAAATCCATCTCCTTTTGTTGTTCTTCCCCAGCCTTTCTACTGTTTCACTTTTTATGGATTGTTTTACCCTAACATTTTAAACTCCATTTTTAATTCCTTTTTTAAAATACATACATTTTTTAACATGCATTGTTTTCTACTCGTGGATTCTCTTCTGGCTTTCAGAGTTCATTTCCAGCCTATCTCCAGACCCCTATTTCCACCCCACCCTTTTATGCGTAGCATTTTATATTTTCCTTACTTGTCTCTTTCCTGGATCCTCTTTGCATGCGTTTACAGCTATAGCATCGTTTGATCAGCCGGTCATAGCAGAAGTTGGGATCCGGGCAGGTTGTGTTGTGATCGTCCATCGCAGGCCTGGATGAGAAGAGACAGTATTGTAACTGGTTTTGTTCTTCATTACAACTGAGTGTCAAAAGGAAGAGAAACAAAGTTTAACCAGAGAAGAGATTATTCAAATGTGGCCTCAATGAGAAATCAGTGAACTGTGAAACTCAGTAGTTTTTTTTTAGTGCTAACTACTACCATTTTCATTAATGTCTTGTATATCTCAGAACGCACTGCTCTAAGCAAATCATTTTCTGTGGTATTCCCAAGATAGCACAAGAAGCAGTAGCAACTGAATACTTTGGGAAGTGTAGCAGCCTTCCTACTGCCTCACTAAAATTCCTGTTTAATTTTTGGATGGTCCATGAATGACATGTTTTTTCCACTGAGTGCATGGAATCCATTGTATAAAGATGGAAAACAAACAAGTGGAAATAGCTACAATTTCCCTTTTGAATAAATAGGCTCAAGTTAAGAAACAAAATATTCTGCTGGGCCTGGGTGTATTTTTCAGAATACTACCTAATAACAGGCCAGCTTTGGTTGCTTGCTGTTCCAGTTTATGAAGCCAATATGATTGGCTACCATCCATCTTCTCTCTGGCCATCCTTTAATCTATGCAACACAGTCCTGTTAACTATATTTTCCTGCTGTACATTATTTCTTTATTATAGCTTCATGTATTTACATAATTTTACAGCTTACGACAGATCTCTAACTTATATTTCAAAAGAGGCCAAAATAATCTAAGAGAGAAAAGAGAGAAATGGCACAGAAATGGAGGGAAAGTGTGCAATTATTTCAATTATATGTAGCTTTATTACAAGAGTGGATGCCAAGGCAGTCCTTTGGCCTAGGCCATCTCAATGATTGCTATTGTTGAGACGATGCTTTTAACTATGGAACATGCTAGTCCATAATTATTATGCTCCTAAAGCATTTGCTGCTTGGAAAAGCACAATAAATCAGATCAGCTGGCATCCTATAATAATCAACTTTTCTTTTTTCTTTTGTTTTTTCTTTTCCAGAAGATTAGCAAAACAGGCCTGGGCCATGGGAGTACAAATAATTAGGTTGCCTGAAGTGGCTCCTACTTTTATACAAGATTAGAAAACTAGGTTAGGAAAAAGGATAAGGTATTTTTTTAAGGATGTCGCTAGGGTGGAATGTGAGTAGGAATGCATAGTATTAGATAATAGATAACTATAGATAATATTGATGTATTCTTGTGTTGTCTTTCATTGCTTATTTTATTGTTTTATTATTTTACTTTTGTTCAGTTTACACATTTCTTCCTTTTATTGCTGTAGAGATAGGTAGCAAATACATTTAATAAATAGTAGTAATAATAGTAGGAAACGGGGATTATGCTAAAGGCAAATACTTTGCTTTGCAATGTGATGGCTTTCCAATCACATTTTTTTAATTAAAAGAATATTTTATAAGAATTTATTTTTTAAATGTGTAAATGCATTTTTATTTTCCATTTTCATTTCGTACAGTCACATATATACTGTGCATAACCGGGGCCATA